AAAGCGATGGGCTAGGCCTCGTGGTTTTTCCCCTTTCAAGGGTTTTCCACGTAAAAAAAAAACTTGTGTTCTCTGTGTGTGTGCTGGATATCCGTGCAAAGCTAAGACGTATAGTTAAAACTCTATCGCCGCGTATATTCAAGCCCGCAACAATAATTATGCTAGTGCTATAAGTGCAATTTTCTCTCTCCATCATTAGAGCTCTGCTTAGGGGTGCAAACGAGTAGAGTCGAGCTCCCGTAATGTATGAGGAGCCCGAAGTACTCTTTTTAGAATTTTAGCTCGAGGCTGAATAAGGTGCTCGAATAATATCCATCAGCCTTGAGGAAAGAAGATGAAAGAGCAAAACCACCATCATCAGAACTAGACCAATTGACCTAACACTCTCAGTGTTGCTAATAAAAAATGGGGCTAATTTAAAATTTATGGTTCTTGGGGAAGAAGAAGTGAAGATTGAAAGAAAAAATATAAGATGGAAAAAAATAAAGAAATTTTAGTACTCGTGAGATGCAACACTACAGTAGAAAAGCCGTCGAAAGCGAATCATGCATGAAGTCTATGATTGAAACTTCATTGCTAGAACCACGCAGCAGTGAAGGACGAACTTCATTCACACAAACCGAGTTAATCTAATATTTGCATTCATCACAGTAGTCACCAACCTTCATACTTATTCAAGTTGCTTGATGAGCCAACGAGACGAGATGCTGCTGAATCAAACTCAAGCTTGATTATACAACGAGATCGCAAATCTACTTGAGCTCAAGCTCGAAGTTCAAAGCTTGATAAGCTCGACTCGTGAACTCATTGTCGAGTCAAGCTCGAGTAATCTCTAAATCCAACTTGACTCGTCTGCACACCTAGATATACTCATTAGATTTATTGACCATCGGTCCTCTCAACTTTATGTGAATTCGCTATCACTTGAAGCTAAGTCAAAGCCTTCATGTGAACAACCTCCACCACACATTCCGTCATTCATTTCAATAGATAAGGTGTTTTAGATTATTTTTTATTTATATTTTATAGCATTCTTTATCCTTACAATGATGCCCCTCTCATAATTAATGATGAATATTGTTTAATAATCAATAGTGATTGAGCATAATTCATCTCTACTATGAAAATATAAATACTAATTAATATATTTATTATTCTATTAGTAATAAATTAAGAATTTATAACTCAATTTTACATATTAAAATTAGGCTATAAATACAATAATGAAAACATAATTAAATCTTCTTTATAAGATTATTTAATAGTATATTTCATATGAAAACTATTTAGTTTTTTAAATAGTAATTTTTTATAGCCAAAAATAATCCCAAAGCAATGTATGAAATCATCATAAATATATTTAATTAATTATTTATATTTTAAGTTATATATAATTGCGAATCAGTTTTGATTTAAGCTAAGCAAATTATTTATAAAAATAAAATTTGAAGAAAATTCATTTTTCAAACACAAAAAAAATATTGTTGATAGCCATACAAAAATTATAAATTTTAATTATTCATTATATGATTTATTATGATCTAAACTTAAAAAATGTTATTATATGAAATACTAAATAAAAATGATAGCTATAAAAATAATTAAAACTTAAAAAAATAAAGTAATTAAATGTAATTGAGAAACAACTGATGACTATTTATATATTTCATAAGAAAATATTATTGAAAAAGGTTAATTGAAAATTATTATTATTATTGTAAACTAATAATTTTCAGCTGATGCTATTGAAAATCTGTAATTGAATATTATTATTTAAAATCGGAAATAATTCAAAGCTTTTTGATAGCTATTTATATATTTCATATAAAAGTCTATTTATAATTTTGTTTATAAAATTAATTTCATACTTTATATTCTAAGTAATATTTATATTGCATTTACTCATAATCCACAAATCTACATAATTGATTGGATTTTTTTCTTCTTCTTTTTTGAATTGGGTATCCACTCATTGCCACATTCGAAAGGGCGCTTGACGGCGTGACTAATTCTCAACTGACTTAGAAGAGGCACCCACCTCAGAAATCTCATGACCCATACTTGATTGGGCCACACTTAAGAGGATCTGCTGCTTGAAGTAATTGAGCACTGGTTGGGAGTTCTCAATCATACTCATCTATCAACCAAACTAAACATCAATGGATATGATTGATTGAGTTGATTTGGGCTTTATCCATTCTCTTTCTGCTCGCCACATTTAATCGGAAGAAAATCAAATGTAGTCACATGACCCAAACCAGCAGAATGAAGTCAACCCCTTTTTTTGGACATTTAGGTCATTTAAGGCAAACTCACACACACAACGCATACACATAGACTCGAACCCTGAATCTCTTAGTTGGAAGTCAAACTCTTAACCAATAGGCCAATGAGAGCAGTGTAAGTCAACCCCTTTTACTCGAACCCTTTGCAGTTCTCCAGCTCTGTTGAAGCCAAGTTTCTCTCTTCAATCTGCAATAATTTATTAATTACGTTATCTGCAGCCTGCATAAATTCTGGGGTCAGCCAAACGAAAGGACACTGAAAGGAGTCATCTTTTTCTTTAAGCTGCTGAAAACAACCAAGTTACCCGGCCATGCGTCTGTATATCCTCCATTCCTCATATCTCCCACCAGCTCTACCCTTCCAATGCTTCCATGTCAATGGAAGGAAGCTTTCTGTCACTAAAAGCCCTTTCCTTCCTTCCTCTCAGAGCCTTGCATCGCTTAGAGACTTCCATATTAGGGCAGCGGACGGTGGAAGAAAGAGGAGGGTGAGGGTGATATCTTCCTATTTGCTTGAGAGCCCTGTGCTCTGGGCTGGGAGACTTTGCGTCTTCTACGCTCTCCTTAAGGCTGGTCTCGCTGGCTCGGCATCAAACCCTTTTATCTCTTCCGGTTTAATCTTTTTGACAGTTTTGTTATGACTCTTTCTTGTTTTATAATTTTTTTGGCGAGTTCTTGATTTTTATTGAATATTTGGTTGTTAGGATTGGATGGTGATGATTTGGGGTTTTCCAAATGGATTGAGAGCCTCCAGGGCATCAGATCAGGTTTGTTGGCCTTCTGCTCATTTTCCCTTCTAAACACAAATTCACTAATTTTTAAGCTACTTTTGGCTGTTTTGTTAAGTTTTTGTATTAAGAGGATGAAGAAAAAAAAGTAGATTTGGTGATCTCTTTCATTACTAATGCATAAATTGTTCTTGTCTAATTTGGTTAGTTTTTGTTGCTAGAAGATGGAGCAAGAGAAACTCTAGTGTGGGTTATCTTTATTTACTAATGCCTGTTGTGTGTGAGATGAATTTTGCTTGATTTGTGTTGTTGTTTGAAATAGGCCTAGCATATTCTAGTTCAAAACTTTCAGTTTTAGGTTTTTGAAGAAATTGTGAGCAATGATTTGTGTGAAATGAATTTAACACTTCATGCAATACTTAACTAGGATGAATGGAGAGTTTATGAAGCCTTCCAAAGATATTTGGGATAAGGGTAATCACTATGATGATGGGTTTTAGGTGAATTGAAGAGAAACAAAACTTTATACTGCTATTTTTTGCCAATGTTTTATTTGTTTAGCTAATTTCGGCTTTGTGAATTCTCATGCAAGATTTATGAGTTTCAATATTCGATGAATTGAAGAGAAAACTAAACTTTGAAATCTCATCACTGCATCAGATTTAAAATCCGTATCTTAGGTTTCATTTGGGATGGCTTTCTTACTACTTCTTAAAGCAGCTTTCTAGATTTTTTAACTAAAAAGCTACTTTAAGAAACAATAAGAAAGCTATTGGGTGTTGGTCTAAGTTTTGCATTTACATCTTATTCATATAAATCTCTTTAAATAAAGTGTATAGGTTGATGTATAATTTGGGAAAATTTTGAATAAAGCATTAGGATAAATTTTTCTCCTAAATTTTGTGCTCTCTTCCCTCTCCTCACTTCTCCCTCTCTCTTACAAGAAGCTCAAGAGCTCTGAAGATTCCTCCTAGAATTCCCAACAAAAGCCGTCCCAAGCGAAGCCTTAGTTGCATTGTTGGACTTTATTATTATTTTTTTACTTTGCTCGAAGAAACTACCATGACATGCCTGGTGGACTGTAATCATTCTTAAAATAACACCGGGTAATGGCATGAGGATTTAAGATTCTCCATTGCCATTGTTGTTTCATGTGATTTGATCTTCTTGTAATATTCTTGTGAGCTTAAACGTTGAATAATAATCCATTGAAGAGACACTGCTTATTTGAAGTGGAATTAAAAATATTTTAGTGGGAAATTTGGCATTTTCATTAGTGTTTAAAAATGAAAATTGTGGTAGAGATTGAGGGAAAAAGTGGTAAATTTATAGAACTCAACATATTCAAGATTCTTTTTACACAGATGAAAAAGAAGCAAGGGACAGAAGGAAACTTGTCAGTAAGTGGCATCCTACAACAAAGGGCACCTTGAAGAGAAGCTATAGGGTGCCATCTACGGCTGAAGGTAGACGCCTTCTCCAAAACATAGCCTCTTTGCTTTCGGAGGATGATCATTTCACAGATGCCACCTCACACAAGGTAATTTGTCAATCTTAGGCTTCATTTGGGACGGTTTTCTTATTGCTTTTTAAAGCGACTTTCTAGTACAAAAAATTTAATTTTTGTACTAAAAAGCTGCTTTAAGAAGCATGAAGAAAGCCGTCCCAAACGGAGCCTTAGTTATTCTTAGTTTTTTATCACTTAATCAAAAATGCTTCTCACACTTCCATTAGCATTTCATGGCCTGCAATAAACCAAACATTGGCAGAGAAGTATAAGAGAAATTATTGTTTCTAGTTATAAATATTGTTTGTTCGTATTAGTCATGCAGAATTTGGCTTCCCAGTTTAATATCTGATGCTCATTACTGGTTTTTGTTGCTAATCGGTGAGGGTGTTCAGGGTTGTCGAATAAGAAGAGAGAGCGCTCATGGAGAAAGTGTATGTTGCAACAATGTAAGAGCCCTCTTTGATGAGCTCCCCACACCTCACCTGGTTGTTGAGATAACTGCATTTCCTGCTGGACCACTTACAGAGAAAGACTATGTGAAAGCAGAGAAGCTTGAGAGATTGCTTAGGTCTGGATCTTCTATTTGAATTATGGAAGTCTTGTATTTCTCAAATACATGTATTGCTCACATGTGTAAATAATGGTATGTTTTCTCACCATAACTTCAGCTATCTAATGTTATTCTGCATCTGCCTATTTTCATTTTTCTTCTTTGCTTTTGCACTTTCATAGAAGCATTCGTAGTCTCTTAGAGGTAATCCATAACCTTTTTTATTTTTATTTTTTTTATTTGAACGGGGTATCCACCGGATGTCACCCTCTGAAAGGGGGCTTGGCAGCATTACAAATCCATGGCTGACCTAGAATAGGCACCCCACCCCAGAAACCAACTAGCCCGCACTTGATTGGACCCCACTTAAGAGGCGTTACCGCTCGAGGGGAATCGAGCACGGATTGGGAGATTTCCTACCGTATAGAACCAAACTTAGAAACCTGCAACAATTCATTGCATGTGCTATGAATTTAAATCTAATGCCTTGTTGTGATATCAAAATATTTTATATGATACTTTAGTGTCTAGAAATTTTGATACATACCTAGTATGCAATGTAAATTTAAATGCAATAAACAGATATAACAAACAATGTAACTTTTAAGAGAGAGCCTTTTCTGAACATTTTGGTTTTGGCTCAGTCTTGATGTGTGCTTCTTTGGCTATTAAACCTCTTCTACATAATTTTTTTTTTTGCACACCTTCTATCCACATTGTATTTGATCTATCCCGTTCCGTCATAACCCATCGACATTAACTTTTTATACACCCATTTTATAGTGTATTTTCTACATTTTTTGTACATTTTTAAACCTTCTAAAGCCTATTTTTCACTATATCATTAGATCCTATTCATGCCTTCTTTTTAATATAATCATTCCGTAATCTATCAATCCTAAATTCGCCACACATTCATATTAAAATTCTCATTTCTATCACGTTCAATTTAGCTATTAATGAATTTAATTGCCAACACTCAAATCCATATAGCATAAATCAATTTAATTGTAGTATATAACAGGTGAACTGTGTACAAATATGAGTGGCAAGGTATATAAGAAGTGTATATGGCTAGAGAGAGGATCAGTACAACAACATCAATCCTATCTTTCTTAACATAAGTCAAATCTAATACATCTACTATCCTAACCGGGTCATCGGAAGGCTGCCGTTTTATGTGACCAAATCATCTAAGACGACTCTGAGAGTGGATGATCAATATTAAGCATAATATAGATAATGTGATATTTATTCAAGCTAGCACAAACTTTTATCCAAATAAATCAAAATTACAATTGTGACACCACGCTAGTGTAAATTGTTGGATAGGTTGTGCTAATATAAAACTGAATAGAGGACAAGAACTAAAATCGATGTATAACTTGATCAAGATCAGCACAACTCAACTTTCAATAAAAACATAGAAGTTCACAATGGTGTTGACTATGATGTGATGATATGAGTGAGCATTGAACCAGTAAGCAAAATGTAATGATTAGCTCAACCATCCAAGCTCTAAATCATATAAATAGCCAAGCACCAATGCAACAAAACAAGTGTCCACACACAAAAATATGTGATGATTACAATTGAGATCAAGTAAATATCAATCACAAAATTAATGATTCCCTCTACAAAAGGACCTGTTATGCTTGAAGCACTTTGAGGTTTCGTTTGGGACAACTTTTTTATTGCTTTCTAAAACAGTTTTTTTAGTAAAAACTCAATATTTTATACTAGAAAACTGCTATAGAAAGCACCAACGAAGCTTTCTCAAACAAAAGCCTGAATCGCCGAGTAATCATTCACAAGCAACTGTATAAATCAAATATACAAGGAATATGCTATAAGGATAATGGACATAGATTTGTGTGTGATTCGACTCCAAACGGCTAGATCCACATCCAAACACCCTGTTGCTTAGGATTCACTAGGCACATTTTTATGGCAGAGAAGCCCTCATCTAGTTGATGAAGTAGCCTTCAAACCTAATGTACTCTCCTTCACCCAACCAGCACAACTGTTAAACATTTCCTAACTGGTGAGGCAAACTCAAATCCTTATATTCGAAAATTCTTTAAAACTTTGGTGGTGTAAGGCAAGCAAAAATTAAGCAACTCTATGCTAAATTGTACCAAATGCCAAGTAAAATTACTTTCCCAGGGAGGTTAGGTTTCATTTGAGACAGCTTTCTCATTGCTTTTTAAAGCAGTTTGTTAACATAAAAATTTCTTTTTCAAAACATTTTTATAGTAGAAAGTTACTTTAAAAAATAATAGAAGCTGTCCCAAATGAATCCTGAAAAAAAGTTGCAACAATGTGGAATCAATGAGCTTTTGTCTTGATGAACGTTTTAAGTTTCTTCTATAAAACTCTAAAAATGCATATTTATGGGCATTTCTAAAATTAAAAAAATAAATATATGATATTATATATTAAGGTGCATCTAAAGAATTTAGTGAATTCAATGAAATAGAAATTAAACCCAAGTTCATTAACATAAAATAGTTATTCAATTAACCTAATTAAGCTTGAATAAGATTAGTCAGTAAATTTAATAAAAATGTATGAAACATTTGGAGGTAAGTAAACTTTATAAGATAAAGACAACATAATTAAGGGATTTAATCAAATAATTATTAAACTTATAATCCTTAATTAAGTGTATAATAATATAATTAACACAATTATCATAGAATATTATAATCAGCAAATTTTGAATCAAATAAATATGAATACTACTAAGGTTTTGCTTGGGACGACCTTCTTAGTGTTTTTTAAATTAGCTTTTTAGACAAAAATTTTAATTCTAAAAACTTTTGTACTAGAAATTGTTTTAGAAAGCAATAGTAAAACCATTCCAAACAAAGCTTAGGTGGTCAAAGAGATTCATGTTGATCATTTGAAGCATATGATTTCTAATCATAAAATTAATAATACAATTTCATATATTGAATAAATTTGAATAATTGCAATATTTGCAAAATCAAGTTAAAAAAAATCTTAATTTTTTTTAAATTTTTTTTAACATAAGATATTTTAAATAAATTTAACCATAATTTAATTTATCCTTGCTTGTGTTTATCATTATTAAAATCTTAGTTAGATCTTAATCAAATAAATTGAAAAAAAAATGCTTATAATTAATTAACCCAACTAAAAATACTTAATTTTTTTTTTATTAACATAAAATTATTATAATTAAATCAAGCTCATGTAATCAACACTTGGTCATATGCCCCTTTGAAACTTTCCTTTGCTTTCTATATATATTTTTCATTAATTATTATATCATATAAACTATAATTAATTAACCCAACTAAAAATACTTAATTTTTTTGATATTAACATAAAATTATTATAATTAAATCAAGCTCATGTAATCAACACTTGGTCATATGCCCCTTTGAAGCTTTCCTTTGCTTTCTATATATATTTTTTCATTAATTATTTTATCATATAAACCTCTTCTATAGTGATATCTTCTTGACATTAAGGCTTCGTTTGGGATGGCTTTCTACTGATTCTTAAAAGAGCTTTTTAATATAAAAATTAAAAATTTTGTACATAAAAATTATTTTAAAAAATAGTAAAAAAATTCATCCCAAACGAAGCCAAAGTCAAATAAGAGGAATAAGGTCACAAAAGTTAAGCACATTGTTTTTAATGTATTTTGAAGGATTTTATGGTATCTTTGCAAATAGAAAGGTTTGGCAATACTTATCATTATTATTAGTATTATCTCAATCATTTGGAAAATTCTCTTCTATTTGTTCTTATTGAGTGGTGGGTGCTATATTTCATCTATTTTATTTTAAATTTATGTTTTGTTTGGGACGGTTTTCTTACTGCTTCTTAAAACAGTTTTCTTGTATAAAATTTTAAATTTTATTCTAGAAAATTGTTTTGAGAAGCAGTAAGAAAGTCATCCCAAACAAAACCTTAAATTGTAAACATACAAATAATGCCTGTAGATGTCCAAATTTCCTTCTGATTTGTCAATTCAGGCTAATCACTCTATTATTCTTGTGTATCCATCTTATCTTCCAAGTAGAGCCTATATCAATTTACAGAATCCATTTTTTTAATGAAAATTTTGTAAATATGAAATACATTTATTATTATTATTTTCACTCAGTTTAAGCGTGAAAATAAAATCGTTATATTTGAGTAATTTGAAGAAATTTTGTTAAGGCTTAAACTAATGTTAATTTATAATTAGATTCTATCAAATCTGAAATTAAGCATTAGTTTCTTAGGCTTCGTTTGTGACGGCTTTCTTATTGCTTCTTAAAGCAATTTTTTAGTACAAAGAATTGCTTTAAGAAGCAATAAAAAAATCGTCCCAATTAAAGCCTTAGTCATTAGGTTGGTTGAGCTCCAGGTTTTCTTCTAGCTCAAAAGCAAAAACTCATTATCTGTATGTGTTACTTGTTCCAGCTCACGAACCATGAAGACATAAACCTTCAATCTTTATAAATATATAAAGCCATCGCAAAGACAGCTTTCTTATTATTTTTTAAAATAAATTTTGAAGCCTTAGGCTTCGTTTGGGACAGTTTTTTTATTGCTTTCTAAAACGGAGTTTTAGTACAAATAGTACA